CTGCACCAAACACCCTGAAATTATCTGCCATACTGCGTGTTTTATTTTGGATGCTTTTTGATCAAAACTACTCACGAATGGCGTTACATATGTCGTCTACTGAATAATCCAATTTTCTAAAATAATCCAGGCGAGTTTAACTATTTTACTAGATGGTTTTCTGTACTTGACATGTGTATATTTTCCAGTTGCTTTTGTCACATGTATCACTAGGCTAAATGCAGAAACTTCTTATTGAAAGTGCACAAAGAGTCATACACCTACCTAATGTTCCATAAGTTTTCTTAGCTTTAAAACTTTTCCCAGACATGTTTACTATTTTTAAATTGTCACGCCTCACCAACCTGCATGTTAACCTGGCCCCTACATGTGCTGCATCATGTCTCTGTGTCTTTTAAATTTGAAAATCATTTGAATCGCCTGTAACATCTTCAATAAACCCGTCATAGTCATTATTGCTATACGGTTTTGGGTTTATGAATTGGTCTGTCATATTAGTAACCTAGAAACACTAACATAGTTTAGGTAATAAAGCTAAAAATTTGAGTACTAGCATACTGCCTTAGTACAATAACTAAACTATCAGGTAGTTAATGACTGAACAAACATTTAAAATTAAAACTCCAAAACCTATCACTAAAATTAACACTAGACGATATTTTTGAATTGAAATTTATAATATAATTTGGCAGTTCGGATAGTCTGATGCTACAAAGTTCTAATAATTTCGAATCAACTAAAGCAATAATACCTATTTTTACACTGGCTTATCCTCAATCAACACTATAATTAGTTTAACATAATGGTTTCTGGATATCGTCATAAAGCATTGTCATGATTTGACAATCACGTAATATGATTGGTAAAATTGATGAAACTATTAACAAAATCGGTCAGCAAATTGACTTGTAATTATCATTAAATAGTGTTGTTTTCTCAGTATCTTCATCCACTACAGATGATTTTCAGTATGTTTCTCAATCAGTTGCTCATTCAGTAAATATCTTAAAACCTTGTCGGTCTAATTGGAGGTTTAGTGACACAATCATGCATGCAAATCATCAGTATAAGCAGTCTAGCAAATCTCCTGCAAACTGAAAACATCAATGTTGAAGTTACCCCAACACTGACTAAGGTTCAAGCTATTATCATAGACATGAGTTGGGAGTGTACTCACCCTGGTTACAGCTTATGTTCTTCCTGACAATCACATAAGCATCGCTCACTGTTGACTATCTTGTAAATATTTATTTAGCCGAAGACATCCTGCAGCAACGCATCACCTAGAAATGTGGCACATAGGCTTAGTTGATTTCAATAACTTGTAATCACTATAACTCAATTACATTGTATTCCGCCTTATGCTAAACTGCATACCTGCAACTACCTTGTATGCACCATCAGCCGGTAGGTATAAATATAAATAAATAGTCTGTGGCAACGGAAAACATTAGTTTACAGCGTGTCTCTCATGTTTAACGATTTGTTCTTAGCTATCTGTCCAAAATTCACATAATTATCACTATTTGTGTATTTAATTTTTTTTGATAACCAATCATATGTATTAGTAGTATTACTAAATTCTACCACGGTCAAGTAAAAATGAGGTCGAGAAAATCTCCCCATGACTAAATGAACCGTATCAAACTAACTGAAACACTAGTTGGAATTCTTCTCCGCGCTTATACTTTTGTTCTTTCAGTTAACCTACTAATACAGATGCAATTGGAAATCCACTCATGGACAACTTACCGGCACATACGTTATTTGATTTCATAATTTAGACCAAATGTAATACCAGTTTTAACATTTCTACAATATTGATTGTTTTTAATATTTCTATACAGGAAATGTTATTAACCTACGGCTATTACTAACTATCTTACGGCGACTTATTAAAATATCCCTATACGGAGTCATTTCATTATAATTATAATCCCGCTTTGTTAAGCTCAAATAATCTCCACCCAAATTTTCATTTTAAGCGTGTTAAGCACTAAATCAGACACTTTAAAATAATTACGTGTGTTTCCCGACCAGATGCTGTCGCCTTCTTTTTGGTTTATCTTTCAGTTCATCAATACCCGGATGATTCTTATTACTCTTGCTAACCTCCGGCGCGCGACGATCCCGCACAATTTGGTATCGAACCAACGTCACGTTGATTCTGGTGGGAGAGTAGTGTAGTAGCATTGGACCCTACCACGAGACAATATGAGAAATAGACATTAAACATTTAACGCGGAGAAATACAGAATAATGGAGAAGGCGGGGAGAATGAATTGAATTATTCGGAGTTAATCTTATGGCATGGCTCGACCATGCAGGCGTGGTCCCTCCTGAATTTTAACATATCTTTCATTCATATTAAATATATTGTTCCATCTCTAGCCTAAGATTGTTCTCTATCATGTATTGGTAATTGTTACGATGCAGTGAGTTGGTGTAGATGATGATGTGACTTCCACGCAAGATCTTATAGATTAGGCAGTTACATCATATTATTAGAGCAGTTCTAATATCATAACAGACCATAATTCTACAAACTCAATCGAGTAGTTTGTGATTGTCTACGGTCATGATGAATGCTAGGGTAACGTGACAGAGTATGACAGAGTTCTTTAACGTCACGTCGTGTCGTTTGAGGTTTTTCCTTGATGGAAAAAGCTCGGCGTTAGAAGTTCTGACGATCTCCAGAGTTCGGCCGACAAATGCAACTAGCTCGTCTACATCGTTAATTTGAAACGAGGTAAGCCCTGACCGCAGCTGCTGAGGAAGCTTACACAAGAGAAGTTGTCTAAACGGGCCATCGTCTAAGGTCCATTAACCAATGACCTCTCTTATTCGTAACAATATATCCGTTGCTGAGCCATGTTGTAGATCGATGTCATGACCCGATGCAGATGCGTGACCGAAAGCCTTCAGCTAGGCAAGTCCATTAAAACTAGTGTGGTCAGCATCAAATATCGATGATTCACACGGGGTTTACTTACCGCCACAGTACCTATGGGAGAAAAAATGGTGTTCAAAAATGTGAAAACACTATCATGATACGTAAAAATAAAATTGACATATGATGTTCCAACAAGTAACTGATTCACAGTTTACCGTTAGGTGAGAAAGATGTTGCATTGAAAACTTCAGGTTGTAGAATTTCAGCACCTCACAGAACTCATAGTGGCCATGTTAGATTATTAGCTGAAGAATCCCAGTCTAGTTATTACCACCCCAACCTCTCCGTTTGTACATCACTGTTACATACATTCTCATAGCTATATAAAGATCGTGGGCTTTCATCCTCTAAAATCACAAAAAATGCTGAGGGTCTTAGGCACATTTGAATCTCCTAACCTAGCTAGCAAAGATCCCAGAGCTTCAAGGGGATATGATAACTTACTCTGCTACCTGCTTGCTATTCCCTGAACGTCTGAGATGACACAGCAGTAACACTGATTTGCAACGAAAGGATACTTCGAGCCAAGTGTACAATAACTTAAAAGATTTACGCCGGGCATTGAACGGTTGATGAAATACGGTGGAAGTCAATGTAGCTAAACACAGGAACATGATCAAGACTCCATGATTTGATCAATCACGCCCCTCAGATTCCTCTAAGTCATTCTATAGAGTAAACCATCGAATTCTTTTCCAGAAACCAAGTTCTGTGGGTATAATTAGGTGCTTGATTACTCAAAGGTGTGATTACGAGATATCACGGTTCGCAAAACTCTGGATGACCGAATTTCAGTGACGAATGGCATTCCACAAAACTTAGGTCTAAGACCACTATTCTTATTGTCCAGCAACAATCCGCCTAATTATCTGGTTTCGCAAAACTTATTCAGAGAATATTAAGACTTAGATAGAAACCAAGTTCAACTAATAAAGTCTCTACAAAGAGACTTGAATACGATAGACTACTAGACCGACAGAAATCTCTTCCCTCACATTGTTAGCAAATGTAGCATGCCAGTGAAAAAAATAAGTTATAATTTTTCTATTTGGAAATCTTTGGGAGATTCCAACAATACAATCTCAGTAACTGAAAAGGACGTGGACATTACATTTCGTGATTTTCTTCAGGATCACTTCCCATCAGCATTATGAAAGCATAAAAGCCTCACTCACGGGTTTTATCTTCGGATTGGTAGATAGTTTTGAACTGCAAGTATCTAAAACCTTTTATTGTTTATTGAAGATTTTATGATATGTCATACCGTTTTTAACCCTCTGACCCGGCAGACCACAAGAACCTCTCACTACAACAGTATTCGCCAAGAATAGAACAATAATGACTCCGTAGAAACGTCAATACAGACGTTTCCGCAGTCCGAGTCAGTAAGTTATGAAACTCCCTAACAGAAGACATATCAATTCAACAATCTTTGGCTACATCCACCATAAGAACTTTAGATGACTAGTTTAGTTCCATAGATACTGGAAAATATTATTCCAGGTGTTACTTGTCGACCACTTTTATCGTTGGCTAACTTATTTCTTCTTTCTACAAATACCATAGCCCTAGATAATCTGAGACGTTATCCATTTTTTATGATGGAGACTTGGAAAAACCAAGTTCGAGTCATAGTGAGACACTTCCGTAACGTACTCTAGTTGTATGAAGTTTCACTCATGTCCACAGTTTTTGATGACTTTTGGCCTAAAGAAGATGTCACTGAGTCAATCCAACAAAATTTCAGCTATGATCGGGTCTAGTACCTAAAATATCAACATTTACCTCACAACAGAGGCGAAGGGATCAATTGACTTTATTATTTCAGGTCCAAAAAAGCATTAAAACATTAGTTTAAATTATTCAAGGCATTAATAACTTTTTAACGCAATTCGAGCTGAAATGTAATGAACACTTCTTTTCTGTGCTTACTTGGGCAATTGTATACTGAAGTTTGTTTTAGCGTTTTGTATAGAAGTACAATGGCGAGGTTCGCCATTAGATTTTGATTTGAAGTCGTTGGTGCACGCCCACTAGCTCGTTCCAGATGGAGTCCGTTGCTGCACACAAAGATGAAGTCGTAAGTTTTTTTTCATTGTTTCTTTCTATGGCAAGACTCACGTTGAGTCGAAAATTGACGAGTTGAAAAGAAAGTCTGTGGATGCCAAAGACGTTGCAGATCATGAAGCTAAGAATGGTAATGATGAACCAGTTGTCAAGAAGATAAGAAAAGGTTTGCATTCTGTTTTGCTAGATATTAAAACCTAATGTAGAGACTGGTGATAACGATAGCGACGAGAAGTCTCACAGTCCGGAGAGTAGACCAACGGAGGGTGAGTTGGACGAAGATGGCACCGAAGGTAAGCTAGTTTACTCTTCGGCGTACGCGCCATATCCCTTGACTACTCACACTGATTCTCGACCTACACAATTTTCTTAGTTACATAAGTTCTGTAATTTCGACTTTTAGACGATGCCTCACAAGACACCAAAGACACCAATGGGACAAGTAAGTGTTGTATTTGTGTGATCATTTCTTAGGCGAACACGTAAACGGCAGTAACGGTGAACATGTCAGTGAACATCAAACTGAAAGTAATAGCTAATATTCATTGACGTAAATTTCAGAATCAGATGATGGGTCCGATTCGGAATCGGAAAGGGGTGATGCACCTTCAGTCGACAAGGAGTCAAACGAAGAGGCCAGTGATTAACCTCGGCATTTCTATGCACTCCAGGCATTTACATCTTTTTATAACATTTTTATCGATTTTTATTCTAACCCGGCAGCTTTTGCACAAGTTTATTATTCACTTATATCTAATATAACAGATGCTCGGACTCACTTTCTTTTTCCCTCGAATTCGATTGGTAATTTTCCCAACTTCTGTTTGAGATAATCCTGCGTGCATATATTTAGCTTCTAATGTATCCGAAATCAGTTAAGTATTTACAATCGATTAACCACTGACAACAGACTTGTTAGCATCCGATATCTCGCTTAAGGTGCCATTTCGTCCCAGCACCTGCAATACCTTAGTGTCCTGGGTCAGTTATGAATATGTAGTTTTCGGCAATCAGGTAATAGATGTAATTTGTGGTTTATTAAAGCAAAAGATATTCTGATACTATTGCGTTAATTATTCTTGCGCTCAGTCGATTAGGCTTACGGTTGGACAAATGTATTTCGTCATATAGTGCGCCAAGTGCTTCGCTCCTGTTCCGAAATGTTTAAAAATGCAATGGGTTCCTGGCCAAAACACGGAGTGCTTGAATCCCTTTGATTGGATTTACCAAATGCATAGTGTCACTTTCCCAAAGAGGCGCGTCTGGTATTTCTTAGCATTTACTCATGGTGTCGACTAAGTCGTTTATTTCGTGTTTCTAGGAGTGCTCGACAAACGTATTACGGTAATTGGTAACGATGACCTGCGTGTTTTTATTTGGTAGATGTGAAGTAACCGCGTCTTATACTTGTAATTGTTCAATCCCCTTATTTGCAGATGTGCATGTATCGTTAGATTCTATTTCTGATAGTAGTTTCCAATGAGGGTCGTTAACATGGTGTTCGGCTGCGCGCTCGCAAGTGAACATTGAGAATACCATGTCTTTAGCAAATTGATCAGCAGTGACAAGTCTCCTTGAATAAGATTTGAGTGGTATTTCAATGTTTTTTGAGTCACCTGATAGTTCTTATAGATTAACCAAACCAAAGAAGAGCATTATGAGGTCCCCCAATAAAAAATGTTGGTGGACATAGACCTAGATACTGAGAAGCCAGGAGCTTCGTGATGGCGAGTGTATACGCGTCGAACTCTGCTAAGGAAAGGCTTAGTCTCCAAACCTGATGCTATTGTACGGACGTCAGACAGAAATAGACCATCAAGTTCCCATCGGATTTTTAAGTACACAGCCAGTAATTGCATCTTCAGGCTTAGATGTAATCATGATAGACGAGGATGGTCAGTCTGTAGGTTTTCTTGTCAACAATGTTCGTTGTACGTAACTTACAGGAGTGAGATTTCCCAATTTAGTGGTCGTATTCATCGCATTAATTAAATTATATGGACAACTATTTGTTGTTAGTCGAGGTAACAAGAAGAAATTTGAACTCAGTTTGATCTAGTTCCCCAAAATATTCGTCTTTATTTGTTAAGAATGTCCATCCCACAAGGAGTAGACAAGCAATGGTTTGTACAGTTTCTTCACACAAAGGAATTATGTAATAAAGTACAGTTGATTGATCATGTCTTCCAATTGGCTATGATGATTTGCCGTGTAATCAATTCTTTTTAAGACCTATAACGTAGTAGACAGTTTTGTGGCAAAGACAGTATAAAGTTTGGAAATGTCAAACCGAAGTTAATAAATTTCCCCTTCAGTACTATATAGAAAAAAATGTTCGTTTCTGAATGGATTATAACGGCTAGTGTTCTCAAATAATATTACTTTGACTATGAGACAATTCTGCATATAGTTACCCATTTTGAGCAGTTTGCTCGACATCAATGTTTAGAAACTTGAGTAGTTTCTTCATTGGTGGCTAGCAGTGAAAACCAGTAGGCGTTCACACTTTTGGCGATATGCTTCCGGTTCGAGTAGTAGGTAGAACGTTAAGATAGGATCGCGTGATAGATCTTATTCGAACATATGAACCAGTAATTTGTATTCTTGATGAAACAAGATATTAGAAATCAGAACCTGGAAAGTGTAAAATTTATTTTAGCTAGTAAAACGAATGTTAGTATAACTGGATTCAGTAGTAGTTCGTGACATAGTACGAATTATTTCCAACTTAAGCTTTATCAATTAATCTACGTCATTGCAGATACGAATGATAAGGAAACAAATTCGAACTATGCTATAAACTTTATATCTTCATTTGTCTAATAATCTGACGTGGTTAAGACGTGATAACAGTTGACATAACATTCGCGTTCGAGCATCCGGACTAATAGTTCTATCTCTGAATATCTAAACATTTAGTGAAAAAAACTTTACAAGCAGATACGATGATTAACGTCTCGATGTGGCACTTCTGCATGATGCTCAGGCGCGAAAACGCGTTGAGCAGCTTTTGATTTCAACAGTTTCCATGCTAAATACAGAAATATCCTTTAACAAATTAGTCACTCTTAAAATAGTTTTAACTGATATATCACAATTTTTCTGCATTTAACGTGAATTTGAATTTTCGTAAATTCAGTCTTCATCAGTCAGTCAATCAGCTACAACGTAGTACCAGGCACATTTGTGCATCGGTTCAAGTTGCCATACCTCATTAGCACAACAAGATGAACACCGAATTCATAGAAGTACTTAATTCAGTGGCGGTAATATATAAAAAGAAAGATTGCATATAACGACATAGTACAGGGACGAAAGGTATAAGGTAATTTTAATCTCACGGTTTAAGGAAAGGCAAAGAGTTTATACACCTACGCCATTGTGATCGATTCTGAACCATGTCACCAAGAGTCTCCAACAATTGGCTACGATAGTCAAGCGGACCCCAACCAGATAGTCTGCATCTACCAACATGGTTCAGACTAGGAGTTAGTGACTTCAAGCACTGATGCCATGTTTTGGTTTGGCCGTCCCTAACTTTCTTCCAACCGTCTCCAACACTAGTCAGCATTGCGTTGTGTGTTAATCGGTGTACAGGCATACGTAGCACGTGGCCCAACCATCTCAGTTGATGTTAATTCGCAACCCCATCAACTAGCTTACCATCATTCACTAATATCCTACTTATAACCTTACTATTACTTACCCGGTGATCCCAGCAGATGTTGGCAATATTTCCAAGAAATATGTGATCAAATACTGGTGACTTACGAGCATCTTGTACTCTTAATGACCACATTTTGCAACCGTAAAGTAGAACAGAACGAACTGTCGCATCCTTAATCGATAGACAGATATCTCGCCTTGGCCACAGGTGGCGTTTTAAAGGATCAACAAATTGTATTGTTGGAACATAGTGGTAATTTGATTAAAAATTTATGTGTATTGTTTTGCTCTTTTTTCAAATAAAACGCTGAGGTTTTGCGTGTGAAACTTTTCACAATATGTTGTCAAGACAATATTTTATGCATAATTTGCCGTAATGACGATTCAGTATGTATTCTTCAAGTTTTGAATATGGAATAACATTTGTTACGGATAGTAAAGACTATCTGATAGAAATAGGTTTGTTTTGATTGTACGAATAGAAAAGATTTTCGTAGAGTTAATATCAGTTGATTCAGTTCATCAAACTCCTTTTATGATTGCTATAGTATTTTTCCAAATACATTATCTTATGATATAGGCGTTCGGATTATCACATTAATTGATGGATCCCAGTCATTTACCAATGAGATTTTTCCTTTGACTAACAAAACAACTCATTCGTTTTTTCTTCTGTCGAAAGATTCCTGCCTCAATCTAATTTAGAATGCAATTCTCTTCGGTGACTTCACTGTTATAGCTATCCAGTCACATGTATATTGAATTGATTCAAAGAAATTATTTGTGTATTCAAAGATTAATCATAGATAGTGAGTGTCAAGTAGCTGTTTTATTATACTGTGGGCCCATCAACAATACATACTTATGACTGAGTGCAGTTACTAACTCCCAATGTTGGTCATGCTACCTTTAGAACACCAGGTTTACATCCAATCGTTAGCATTTCCAATTCCTTTGATTTTTTGGTATACTGTGTCTGCCAACATCATACGTCTCTTTCTCGGCATAAATAAGTTCGGACGGTTATAGTTTTATACTGGAACTCCGGAAAATTTCTTGAAGTCAGTCTGTAATGTAAACTATCCTTGAATCGAACAGTTTTCACACTCCTCTCATCCTAATTTCTTTGCTCGTTAGAACATCAATATGAAAGCAACCAAAAAATTAATTTCGCAGTTCCAAGTATAGTGTAGTCGTAAGAGAAATCAATCCAAATATTAAACTGAATTTTGATCAAAAAATATCTTTCAAATTGATAAGAATGATACGAAATATAGATTTTCGTGAGCATTATATGACACGATATGACAATATCGCTAAGAAAATCGATTAGTTCATTGTTAGTGACATTATATTTAATAAATGTGTTGCTTCGCTTCTAAATTGTTTTGTATTTAAAAATTTTGACATCATCCTGTCAAAACTGATTTCGTTAATTCAAATAAAAGATTAAACACATTTCTTTTGATAATACTACTCATGAAATAACACGATTATTAAGATCCTTAACTGAATATGTGATTCGAAATGTTGAATTTTTATCATTCATAAATAGTGCAGTTCATTAAGATCTATAAATCATTCCACATTTACAGACTAGTTTAAAAGACCCCATCTAATTCATAGTTTTCAAGGCAACTGAGAATTTGTCGTTTGTATTCGTCAGAAACTGATTATCTTTGGGATGCCACTGGGAACGAAGTAGCGTTGGAAAGTGTCATCCTATTATATGACTATGCTACCGTGCGTACCCGTACCCCATCAAAGATGGAGACCAGGAATTTCAGGTCTCATGATGAACCTATAACCACTAGGATCACTAAATAGGTTTTCAGTTGTCCAGTCTCAAATTTGCCATGTAACTCGATGATTGTCCAATGGGATTGGTGATGACTAATCCACTCTCTACATATCTGAACTCCTTCAGATTTCAATGTCCTGGGGTCGCGGGAGCGCAGTGCAATGGAGCCTCATACTGGGA